GCCTGGCAGCAGGACAGACAAATTACAGCCCCATCATGAATGTGCTAACAACTGGATCCCACTGCAAGTTTGCTAGAAATACAAAGAACAGAGACTCACTCAACTATCAAGAGGGAAGGCAATAGCATTCCGCTGTGGAATGCTACGTAACAAATGGTTCAACTTCTTCAGAAATAAATTGCAAGAAAGATAAAATGGGATAGGAAGGACATTTTTTTAAAAAGCAAGGCTAAGCTGTATTGTTTATTCCTTTTTAGCTGTAAAAAGCATATAGAGGGGCTGGGGATTTAGCTCAGCGGCATAAGCACCTGCCTTGCAAGCAGGCGGTCGTGAGTTTGATCCCTGGTACCAGTAAAAAAAAGCGTATAGAAAATACTGTCTCCTTATTGGTAGTTAGATATTTTATAGCTAATTAAGATGTAAATTTACTTCATGCTTTTTATGTCTGTATTTATGTTATGTTTGAGCAAACTAAAGACAGATTCTTATCTGGTATAGGGATACCTAACAGGATTTACCAAGCCCGTGTTAGATGCATTTCTAGGGTTTAGCAGTACCTGACCAGATTATGCATTTAATAAATGCTTTGGTTTTTTGTGATTTGGGGGGTTTTGTGCATTGTTTTGTATTTTATTTGGGTTGTTTGTTGATTTGCAGCACCAGGATTTGAACCCCTAGAGTGCAGCATTCTTTTTTTTTTTTTTTTTAATCGGTACTGGGGATCGAACTCACGACCACCTGCTTGCAAGGCAGGTGCTTATGCCGCTGAGCTAAATCCCCAGCCCCTAGAGTGCAGCATTCTAAGTGCCCTACCCTGATATACTAGTGAGCGACACCACAGTTACATAGTTTTTTCTCGTTTTAAGTTTAGTGCAGATTCTGCCTACGTTGCTAAGGCTAGCCTTGGACTTGCCATGTTTCTACTCTGGCCCCCAGATGGCTAGGATTACAGGCACGGGCCACAGTGTCTGGGCAGCAAATGCTTTGTTGAGTTAATGAATTTCAAGAAGTTTCCACCCCACTCAGGTTGGATTCCTGCACCCTTTTAAGTACCAGAATGAGCTGCCAACCACCTTCGGGTGGATCTGCTTCAGCCTCACAGCTAGCCAGTCCTCCGCTCTACCTCAGTGGACCGGACACTAGGCCACAGGCCCAAACTAAGCGCTCGGGTCTACTGAACTCTACCAGCTTCAGGCTTCTGAGCCCTGACGAACCTTCAAACGAGCGCTCCGTGTCATCTGCCTCCCAGGGGCGTTTCCTCTTGGTGCGCGGCCCTCTCCCTGTCCCTTCTCTCGTAGCCTCTCTGCTGTGTTCTCTGCACACTCCTCTTCCTCCACAAAGTCCCCTCTGCTGAAGTCAGGGTCTCTCCATCTCCCCTGCAGACTCCGAGAGGCTGCTCACCCGTCACTTGCTGCTGCACAGAGTCCACGTGAAGACCCTGCCTCACTCCGCTCAGTACAGAAGCCTTCCCTTCCATCGCCCTGTCTTGTATTTTCCAGCCACTCTGACTCTTGAACAAATTACACAGCTCTTCCCCTCCACCCTCAGTTCTGCTGTACTCCCCACCCTTCGGATGGACAGCTGCACCAGAGTGCCCCTCATCTGAGTTCTCTTCCCAAATTCTGGGGGATGCCCAGGCCAACAGCTTCCCGGCCTTTCAGTCCCTTCATAACCATGAGTGGCTCAGTCCCTCTGTGGCCCGCCCAGCCTCTCTTTCTCCAGTGCCCAGCCTCCATCTCAGGGCTGATCTCTGAAACACCCGAGAGCCTTGGCCTCCTTTGCACCGACCTGTTGATCTGGTCTTCTGTGCCTGCTCTCCTGTCTGCTGGTACCACCACACCTGTGTGGCTGGCTGTCAGTTCTTTCATCCATCCTTAGCTCTAGCAACTGTTTCACCTTCCTCCATTCTTTTCAAAGCTCCTGACTCCATAAAAAAAAAAAAAAAAAAAGGATGTCATCAGAAAAGAGTTCCCTGACTGGGCATGGATGGCACACCTGTAATCCTATCACTCAGGAGGCTGAGGCAGGAAGATCACTGTGAGATTGAGGCTAGCTTGGGCTACAAAGTGAGTTCAATGCCAGCCTAAACTGCATAGCAAAACTCTGTCTCAAAAAGACAAAAAATAAAAATAAAAGAGCTCCCTAAGCTTTGCACTCCCTTGTACCCCAAAAGTAACTTAAATTTTTCTCTCTCATTGCCTTTCTATGTTATAGTGTAGGTCATCTTTTAATTTTCAAAGCCAACCTCCATACCCTGCGTGGGCTGGCTTGGCTGGCTTCTACCTGTCCCAGTCTTGCTTCTGGGGTCACCTGCTTATCCTCTTAGTTGTCATAGTCTGAGGACATCCAGCACACTCCCACATTTAAAGAAATTCCAAGCTGCTGAGAGGGCATGGGGAAACATACCTGCAATCCCAGCGGGAGCACAAGTTTCAGCCCATCCTGGGCAGCTTAGCAAGAATCCATCTCACAGCAGTATAAGCAAGGCTGAGAGGAGAGCTCAGCATTCCCTTGGTTCGATCTCCAGTACTGCAAAAGGAAAGATTCCACCACTCTCTGTTGGGGCACAATTATAATGTAAGAACACATTTATAAAATAGCAAGCATACAGATACGACCAAGTTTCTGTTCTGCTGAATTAGGTTGACCTTGACAGTGTCCAAAGCCCAGCTGCACACCTCTGAGGAGCACTGAGTCACAGTAATTGGACCTCAAGGCACTCGGGCTAGTCAAGGGAACTTTGTAAGGGCCCCCTGCCTGGAATGTTTCAATTACGGTAACACCTTTAACTGTGCTCACTCTTAGGGCCCTCCCTTGTTCCCAGAATGTTTCTAGATGATGATAAATAATCCCTTTGTTTCACCCTACCTCTCAATTTATGCCTCAATGATGTAACCAATTATGTCATGTTTTGTCACTTGCTTTGTACCTCAAAGTTCTAACTCTGTGTGAACTGAGCTCCTTGTAACTCCAGGCTGCTGGCATTGAGGAATTACCCTGCAGCAGTCTGCCGGTGTGAAGGCCCAGCAGTCTGTCTACCTCCTCGTGCAACCTGCCTTTCTGTTTGGTTTGACAGTCTTCCCGCCACACCTCTGGGTAGCAGCGCTGGCCCTGGTGCACTGCTGGCTCACACTGTGTGTGCACTGTTTCCTGAGTGAATTCCAGCCACTCGTTTCTTCTTTTTATCTGCACTTCAGTTAGTAATCCAAGGTTTCCTCCGGCTGTGTCTCTGAACCCACTTTTACCAAGTACAGCAGTGATTTCACTGTCAAACTCAGTGGACATGTGTGTCACCCCTCAAAATGGACCCCTGCCCCATCTGCCAGGCAGCCTCCCCCACCCCAAACTCAGCACCACACTCACAGTGCCCCTCACACCCTCCGACTGCCCTGCTGTCGCCCCGAGTCTGTAGTGTTTGTGCCTCCTGCCCCAACTTGTCCCGCGGTGCAGTCTCCTAGGGAGGGGCAGCTCTGTTCTGGTTACAGCGATTCCCTGTGTGCTGAGGTTTCTTTCTTGGTTTCCTGATTCCATTAAGTCAACTCCATAAAAAGAACCCCACCAGGGTGTCTCACACATGTCTGAAAAGTACCACTTCCTGAACCAAAATGACCATCCTGACAGATTCTCCAGTGCCCCCTGCTGCCCTCCGCCCAGGCCTTTCTGTCCCATCTCCCCACAGTGCAATACTGAGTGTATACTGAGTGTCTCTATTCTGCTTCTGAATGGAGAACTTCCCTTTCTCAAACTCAACAGCCATCACCTTGCTTCAGATCACACTTTTGATTCTTCTTTTATTGAAGAAATCACCTCTAATTCGGTCCCCTAACACCACAACCAGCATGACTGTTCTCAGATGCAGACCTTGCTGTGCCCTCTCTCTGGCCTGAATCCTTCTCGGGCTCTCTGTTGCTGTTGTCTGAATGCCTGTGCGTGGTTTCTGGGTTTCTCAGGAGCTGACCCTTGTCAGTCTCTCCAGCCCCATCTCCCCCCCGCCCTGTCCTACTCCTGCATGGCTTCTGCTCTCCACGGGCTACAATGCTCTGAGGCTTTGGCCTCTTTTCTTGGTCTCTTGGCTCAGGATCTTTCAGGATGACCTTCCTGATTTTTCCTGCCCAGCGTCTGCTCACCCTACAGTAAAGCCTTCTCCCCCTCTTCCACCAAACAATACACACAGTGCTCTGCACTTAGCAAATGATAGCACGTGTGTGTGTGTGTGTGTGTGTGTGTGTGTATGTGTCAGAGACCGGGGGGGGGGGGTGTCACTATGCAGCTCAGGCAGGCCTTGAACTCACTTGGTAGCCCTGGCTGGCCTCAAACTTGTCCTGCCTCAACCTCCTGAGTGCTGGGATTACAAGCATGTGCCACCATACCAGGTCTGCAAATTTTATCTTATTTCCACCACCAGACTTACCCCCGAGACAGAGTCTTTTTTACACTACATTTACTTATAGCTCCTTACTTCTCTGGGAGAGTCACTACTGCTCTCTCCATTCACTGGGTGGGGATTTAGAGGTGACTCGTCTAAGCTGCCCCCCCACAGGCTCTTACGTGCAAAGTCAAGCCTGAGCTGCTACCTGCCGGCCCCCCCATTCTCCCCTCCTCCTTTGTGGCAGAGCCCTTGGGGTGGCAGTGTGCCCTGTTAACATTGTTAGCCACACTTACAGCTACTGTGGGATGTGATTTGGTCCCCTCCATTCCCAAGAGTCTCCTTCAAACAAAATGTAGACCAGGTACTGAAGCTCCACGACCCTGGGGTTTCCTTGAGGAAGGGAATCAGGATGAGAACAGCAGAAGAGGAGGAGCCTGGGCTCCTGTGAGCATCGAGGGTGCCGTCTGGGTCACACTCATGGCAGTTTTTTAATGCCATGGTAATACGAACAGTCTCATTAAGCCACAGAGGTAGAGCCCTGTTAACTCACAGCCCGACCTACCATGTGGGCCCTGGTGGTTTTACCCCACTTGTGCCACTGGGACGTGACTCAGAAGCAGCAGCCACCATGGGTGATATAAAGTGTTTCTTTATTTGAACACCATTCCACCTGCACTGAAGCTCAAATCCAGCAGCAGCAGAAGGGGACAGGACCAAAATAAAACATTACCAAATCGGACAATGAACAGTAAGGACACATTCAGACAGAACTTACTAATGGGGTGTAGATGACAGTAAACCATCCTTGGTGACACAGCATCGACCCTTGGGGATCTGTCCATCAGAGCCCTGGGAAAGGAGTGACTCCTCTATTTCAGGAAAAGCTAGCCCTGAGCCAGGGGCCCATACGTTCTTGTGCTGGGAGATCCCAGCTTCTCCAGAGAAGACTCCCTGTCTAAGCTCACACTGGAAGATGGAGAAGGGTGACTCCTGGGACCCAGCAGGAATCTCAGGAGGCCAGAGATTCATCCCCCACAGCCTTGCTGAAAAGCTCCTCCACAGGTTCTGGTCCTCAAAAGGAATGTTCGTCCCCCACAGCCCCAGTAAGGAAGGCTGGTTTAGTGCCACGGACCAGAGGCCGAAGTGCTTCCAAGTGTGGCTCCTGCTTTTCGTGAAATAGTCCCCAGTCCAGGATGGAGAGGCCGGTGGTGCCAGCTCCTCCTGAGCTCCTCCGCCTGGGCAAGTGACTCCTCCAGAGACCTAAAGCCTGGAGCGTCTCGGTGGGCACCCAAGAGGCCTTCCCGGCCCAGACCTCGCTTTGTCTCTTCCCAAAGATGAAAGCCACTTTGCAGGCCCTGCACAGACAAACCAAAGTCCTGCCCTCCGCACAGTGCTGCAGGGGCCCTGGGTGCGCTAGGTGAAAGCATCTTCACCTGCTCTGTCCCATCTCTGCTGAATCGTCCAGGGCAGGGCTATCTATGGTCCGCTCCCCACTCCTCCCTCCGGGCAACCCTGGGGTGCCCCCAAACATCAGCCCACCCAATCCTGTTCTCCTGAACCTAAGCCCCTCGATTATCTCCAGGCTGCCCCTTTCTCCACCCATGCAGCAGCAGGGCGGCGTGGAAGCTTTGTCAGATCACCCAAAAAGGACACCCGCCCTTCTTCCTCCCCCCACTAACACTGCCTGACTCGGCTTCCCTCTGGAGTGCAGGGATGGAGCCTGGGCCGCTCAGGCCCTGGGCCTCCAGGGGTCAGTTCTAACCTCCAGTAGAGCACAGGAGTGCTTGGAAAGCAAGCTGCCCGGGCTCTCACTGCGCACAGGGCAGCCTCCCCGTCCCTCCCTTCTCCCTGCACACCTCGGTCCCGGCCCCCGCGAACTCTCTCCTTGGCCTCCGCGCCTGCTGCTCCTTGCCCTTCACCCCCTCCTCCGCCCTCGGAGTCCTCTCCACACAGGCCTGGGCTTCAGCCTCTTTTCCTCTCACTCCCCCAGCTCTGCTCCGGTCTCCAGATCCCTGCATCTGTCTCCTCCGACACATCTGGTCCCCCTTCCTTCCGCTTCCTCTTTCCCGGCCACCCATTCGCTGCCTTCCATCGCTGGGTCTGTCCGTCCGTCCAACCCTAGGCTCCGAATGCGCTCTGGAGAACTCACTCCGCCCCCTGCTGTCTGTCCCACCGCAGCGCACCCGCGGGCGAGCAGGGGCACAGGTGAGGGAGGGCCTTGGCAGAGGTGTAGGAGGTGGGATGGGGGCTCAGCGGAACCAGGGCTAGAACCGTACCGGACCTGGCGCTTGCCGCCAGTGGGTTCCAGATGGGGGCTGTGCACACTCTGGTCTTGCTCAGGTCCAAGTCCCATGGAAATGAACACAAGGGTGGCACAGATGTGGCCCTCAAGCTGCTTTCCTCCCTGCTGGTGGAGGCACACATGACCAACAGGAACAGCACACTTCCCTGGCAGCCTGGGAGGTGAGCCTGCTGCTCAGTGGGCCAGGCAGTGGGCACCCAAAATGAAGCTGGTCTGCTGCCCCAGACCAGATGCTGGCAGGATTGCACAGCCACAGGCCAGGGGGCTCCCAGATAGATGGCGCTGCCACCAAATCCACCAGGTAATGTGGGGTGTTCAGAAGATGCCTGGAGTCTCCCACACAGCTGAGGGGGATGGAGAAGCCCCACCGTAGGGCAGGGTTGAGGAGAAGACTTCTCTGCCACTCTCCAATACACACACAAACTCACAAACACAAACACGCACACACACTCACTCACGCCTCAGCTCCAAGCACTGCCCACAGCTGCACACCCTGGGCATAGCACAAGGTGACAGGTGAACAGGATAAGAGGAGGAGGCAGGGGTGCGTTCACAAGGCCCAGGAGTGGGGACAGGGGTACCCTGTTCAGAGGTGACCTGCAAGTTCAAGTTATGCAGAAGAGTATCAAAGAGGCAAGAGAGTCTGTGCCGTCGGCAGGTGCCCGGGCACGGGGCATGAGAGGGGCAGAAGGGGCGACGCATCCCCTGACTCCCCACCTGCTGGGGACTCCTTCCCCAACCCTGACAGCAGGGCCAAAGAGTCTGTGCTGTACAAAACAGGCCAGCGTCAGGGTCCAGTCACGGCTGAGATGTCCCGGCAGGCAGCCCGGGCCGGCACCGCCCTCCCCAGAGCCTGAGTCTGTTCTCGAGCTCAGGGCTCCTCCGGCTCCAGGCAGCGAGTGACAGTGAGGTCCCATGCTCCTCCCTTGGCACAGCTCACCCTCTTCTGGGGTCCTGGGAATGGGCTGGGCTAGGGGTAGAGGCAGCCCCGGCAAGGCTGGTGGCACCTGGAGCTCTGTGGCAGATGTGGTGGAACCATCATCAGGAAAATAAAAAGTAGGAAAGAGTCCAGCCCACCTGGGGCAGTGTCATGAATCAGCTTCTGTAGGAGGCAAGGACACAGCTGGGTCGCAGCCTTCCAGACTGGGAAAGGCTGGGGGCCACAACCAGGGTGCCCCCCTTCCCTAGGCATCCGCAGACCAGTCTAGAGAAGCGAGAAGAAGCCGAGGGAGGGGGGATCCAGGTCCCTGAGATGAGACCCAGAATCGCCCCCCGCCCCCCGGGTCTGCAGGGCCCTCCCCTCTGCCAGAGTGCAGACTGGCCCTGTCTTCTCTTCACAATGCGGAGCTCCCAGGCTGGCTGTAGTTGATAAGTCAGTCCGAGATCTTCCCTCAGGGTCTGGACAGAGGGACGCGAGGGCAGGTGACAGGACAAGCTGAGGTCAGGCCAATTCCTAGGCTGGAGTCTCGGCCTTCAGGGTCCCTGTGAGTGAGCCACAGGGCAGGGGAGGACTCCCCATCCGGAGACATCACCCCCTGGCCGCAGCACAGAGCTTACTGTAGCGCCCATGAAGTCTAAGAGAGAGAAAATTGGAGAGCATCAGAGATCAGCTGGGCAAAGACCTCCCCCAGCCCCCCTCAGGGCACCCTGGCTGGCAGATGAGCCTGAGCTCCATTCCACCTTCCTGAGCCCAGGTCTCCTCATCTAAAGACGGGGATGAGGTTAACTTACAAGGTGACGGAGAGCTAGCCAAGGACCTGAGCACAGGCATGACACAGTGGTGATGGGTTCCTTTTACTCTGAAGATCTGTGAACTCAGAACTCAGAACTAAAATGGAAGGCTCACCCATCTTGAGCTCCCAATGAGGGACAGAGGTCCCCAGCACAGGGCAGGGAGCAATTTTGACCTCTGAGTTGTTAGGGAGCTTCAGGGAGGGAGGCAGGGCACCAGCCCGACCACCTGGCCCTGACCACATCCCAAAAGGCGCCTCCAGAAGGCGTGGGAGCCTGCTTGGTCTTGCACTTCTGGAAGAAGCCACCAGAGGACGTGCCTGGCTCTCACAGCCAGACCACACACACCAGGGTGCGAGGCTCCCGCAGGGCCAGCCCTAAGACACGTGACCAGAGAGGAAAGACAGAAGGTCTCGGGCTCACCAGCTGAGACAGTCAGCTTGACAGCAGGAAGAGCCTGGGCTTTGGGTGTGGCCCGGTACTCGGGCTCTGAGGCACTCTGCAGGGCCCAGGGGCAAGTTTCCCCAGGTGTGCAGCGGTGCCCGGTGCTGGTCCTCCTGCCTACTGTTCCAGTCACCCTCGCTGTGTGGTACAGCACGCGGAAGCTCAGGCTAAGCAACTTCTGAGTTCCACCTGCTCGAATGCAATCTGCCTCACAGGAAGGCCCAGACCCCGCCCTCCCCTCCCAACACTGATCACCCTGCTAACAAGAGATCGCTTTGTTGGCTCAGCAGTCACTGCCATGACCGCCACTGCACAAGTAAGGAGAGACCCCAGAGCCAGAGGGAATTAACACAAGGGGCTGACCGCCACCCCACTCACGCTAACAATTCCAGAGGGGTGCGACCCTGAGAAGCACCGCGCCCTGCCTGCAGGCTCGGCCTCTGGCGCCACCCCGTGGAGAGCCACCTGGCACCATCATTCAGTTCCAAGTGTGTAGAAAACACGTGGAGGTGTGTATCACAAGACTGAACAAAAGCTTACCTTAGCACTGGTGGTGAGAGTAAAGACCTACACCTCACCGGGAGCCCCTCAAAAACAAGTTAATAAACTACAGTTCCCCTGTTTTTTTTTTTCTTCCAGTCCTGGGGAATGAACTGAGTGCCTTTGCATAGAGCCATGCTGGCAGCTTTTGTTTATTTTTTTATTTTGAGACAGAGTATGATGAAACCACCTAGGATGGGTTCAGCCTCCCAAAGTATTGGGATGACAGGCATGCGCCACCATGCTCTGCTCAGTCTTCATCTTACGTTGTACATACGTGCATATTAAAGGATCCAAGACACAAGTCACACCTGACACTCTGGCCTCACGTGTAAAATTATTCTTTATTATATTTTACTGTTACTTGATGTATATAAAATTTTTGTCTTTTTTGTTTTTATCGGTACCAGGGATTGAACTCACAACTGCCTGCTTGCAAGGCAGGCGCTTATGCCGCTGAGCTAAATCCCCAGCCCCTGATGTATATAAAATTTATGTGTAATGTATTAATTATATAGTGTGCTATAGTAAATACTATGAACTGCACCATGTAGAACTACAACTGGTCTGTAATCCTCATGCTCAGAGAAGGCAGGAGCATCAGCACAAGTTCAAGGCCAGCCTGGACTACCTGGTGAGTTCAAGGGCAGTCTGAACTACACATTGAGGCCCTGTCTCAAGTACACTATAAGTGGAAAAAATAAGGATTATAGCTCTGGGCTCAGGGAATACTTCACTGGTGGAGCACTTGGCCAGCATGTGGCAGGCTTGGGTTTCATCCCCAGGAACACACACACACACACACACACACACACACACACACGAAAGTAAGAGAAAACCATACATTTACCAATAATGTGCACGTCTCCACAGGCCCCGGCTCAGGCTCCCCATTCCTCCCCTTCCATTCCCACCGGGGACAGCCACCGTCCTCTCACGTCCCCTGCATTCTTTTCTTTAGCAGCAAGGCAGGGAGTTCTGAGACAGGGTCTCATAGTTCAGGCTGGATGCCAGGCTGGCCTCAAATTCATACGGACCCTCCTGCCTCAGCTTTCTGAGTGCTGGGGTTGAAGCCACACACCACTATGCCTGGTTTTCCCTTTGCTTACATATATATGCATATACCCACCATCATACCATAATGATACCGCATTTGCTTAGTTTTGAGCTTCATAAAGATTCATTCTGTCATCTTCTAGAATTTAATTTCTTTTTTTTTTTTAAGCTGGGCATGGTGGCGTACGCCTGTAATCCTAGCACATGGCAAACACAAGCCTGGGCAATTTATTGAGACCCAATCTCTAAAACTTTATACAGGCCGGTAATTTAGCTCAGCAGCATAAGCGCCTGCTTTGCAAGCACTGGGTGGTGAGCTCGATCCCTGGCACACCAAAAAAACAAAATCAAAACCCAACCTTCATACAAAGGGTTGCAGGGCTTTGATCCCCAGCACCACAATAAAGAAGGAAGGGTTAGGGAACATAGTGCCCCGAGAGGGTGCTGGGTTAGACCCTCTGCGCCAGAGGCAAAGCTAAACCCCAGCTTGATTTTCTTCCTAGTGTTATTTCCCAGATGCACTCTGTGTGGCAGACAGCCGGCTGCACCTGCGTCCGGCCCTGTTGCCCACCCGTTGCCCGTCCACTGCCCGCGCGTGGGGCCCGCCCGTCAAGCCCAGCTGCGGGTTGAGGGCTCCCTTCCCTCCGCGGTGGGCCGCAGCCCCGCCTGCGCGCCCGCACTCGCCTTTGTTCTCCTGCTTCAGGTCCTCCTGCAGAAGGTCTGTCTGCCGGTTGCCCAGGACGAAGGCGAGGAAGGAGAGGATGAGGGCGTTGAGGATGCCGATGATGGCCAGGATGTACGCCCAGCGCACCGAACAGTCCCCCAGGGAGTACTTCCCGGTCTTGGCCCCACACATGTCCCGGATGGTCTCGGCGTCCCAGCCGTCGGGGAAGATCATGCAGCCCAGAACCAGGCACAGGGCTGGGGGCGGGGCAGGGCCGGGAGGAAGAGAGAAGGGAGGGTCGTTACTCCAGGGTGCAGTGCCCCGTGGGGTGCGGAAACTCTGGAACCCTCCATGGGTCACCCCCTCCACCGCCTTGGTGGAAACCTGGGAAACCACGGATGAGCTAGAACCAGCCCCCTCGGTCAGTCCGCCTCGTTCTCAGCTCACCCATCCTCACTATTACTGTTCTATGTTTTGGCGGAGTTTTGCTCTGGCTTCCTCCAGCAGCTGCTGGTTGCGCACCCTCTCCCCTTCCTCCCGAGCTGGAAATCGCTTAGCCTGGGCGGCGGGACCCTCCCCGGCGCTCCCTCCCCTCCGGACAGTGCGGAGGGAGGCAGCCGCGGCACGGCGGGCCAGGCCGGCCGCTCCCGGAGCGCGGCGGTGTGCTGGGAGCCGGACCTGTACGGCCCACGCGCACTCACCGAGGGGACCTGGCGCTCCCTCCCGGCTCCCCGAGCCGTCGGGGCCGCCACACCGGCGGGTCTGCGCGCTGCCTCTCTCAACAGTGATTGGCTCTCAAAGCGGGCATGTGCTCCCCCAGCCAATCAGAGCCAAGAGTCACCACCGGAGGCTGGAGGTCTGCAGAGCTCCCTGGCGGCTGGCTCTGAGCTTCATTCCCTCCAGCCTCTGGGTCAGGGATTTAAGACCCAAAGTTCCACAAGGGTTTGCAGCTATGGGCCTTGACCCCGTGCAGGGCCCACAGGGGATTCACCGGGGTTGTAGATGACAGCGCCAGGGCTGAGGATGGGTCAGTGACAGAAGGCGGGCATGGCATGCACAAAGCCCTTATTCAATCTCCAGGGCCGCCCCCTCCCAAATCAGTAGATGACAATTAGGTAGTGCTCAGTACACTGCCTGTTGTGTGTAGCCCATCTGGTCCCCAAGGTGTGCAGGGGCCTCACTTTGCTACCCTTTCCCCACCTGCGCCACTGGGTAGGGGCTCCCTTCCCCAGCAGGTGATTGCAGTTCCACGCCCCGGTCCGCAGGGTGCTCCTGTGGGTACGGCTGCCTCCCTTCTGCTCTCCTCCCGGGCCTAAGGACTGGGAGCACAGCTTCAGGACAGGAAAATGCAAAGGCCCTGCAGTTATAGAGGAGCTTGGAAACAACCTGAGCTGGCGATGTAAGTTTGGGGGCTTCAGGCATTCGAGAGGGTTTAATTCCTGGGACCAGAGCCTCGACCAGCTCTCCTGCATGGAGAGAGAAGAGGGGGCCTAGCTCTCCCCTTCCTACACACGTCTTTGGTCAGGCCCGCTACTCTGGCAGGTCGGGAACCAGCAGGTCGAGCAGGGGCAAGAGGAGGGGCCTCACACTGCATGAGCACCCCGACCTCCTCGGGTCCGCTGGGTTCTCTGGCAGCTCCTGCCTCCCCCACTGCTAGACTGTGAGCCTCTGACCAGAGCGTGTAGGGCAGAAAATGGACAGGGTGAACCCATACTTTTCAGCCATCTCCTCCGGCTGCCTTCCCATGAGCACCAGCGTGGCCCCTCTCCCACCAGGGTGCTTTCCCCCTTCCTGGAGCATCCACGTCTCTGTGGAAACCGCTGCAGGATTCTGCACTGCAGCTGCCTGACTCCTCTGGTACTGCAGGCAGCCCTGCCCTCCACAACCCACACTGAGATCTGAGGCTCTATTCTCTCCCCCAGCTTTGGGTGAGGCCTTCACTGTCTGGAAGGTCTCCAGGCATTTGATTCTACCAGTCCTCAACCGCTGCACTCAGGGGCCAGGCATCCAGCTCCCCAACACTCCCAACTTGTCCTGCTTCTAGCAGACGGGTAATAGGAAAATTAAGATGAATGATGTGGGGGGCTGGTGATTTAGCTCAGCGGCATAAGCGCCTGCCTTGCAAGCAGGCAGTCGTGAGTTCGATCCCTGGTACCAATAAAAAGGAAAAAGACAAAAAAAAAAAGATGAATGATGTGAATAGACTGGATGTGGGAGTGCATCATGTAATCCCAGCACTCAGGAGGCTGAGGCAGGAGGATAGTGAATTTGAGACCAACTTGGACTACATAGCAAGACTGTCTCAAAAAAGAAAACATTGAGCCTTGGGGGTAGCTCAGTGGTACAGTCCTTGCCTAGCATGCACAAGATCCTGGGTGCTAACCTTGGAAACGCAACGCAATAATACTGTAATATGAGTAATATGATACTCTTTTTAGGGGGGGTGTTTTGAGACAGGGTCTTGCTCTGTAGTCCAAGATGTCCTTGAACTCAGTATGTTGCCAGGCTGGTTGGAACACATGATGCTCCTGCCTCAACCTCTGGAGTGCTAGAAATAAAGGTGTGAACTACTACACCCTGCTCTGGGATAATTTTTTTAAAAATAGTATTGAGTGCTTAACCATGTGCCAAAGTGCTAAGCTTCTGAGCCATTATCTCATTTAATTCTATAAAAATATATGGAGTAGGAAAGATACTGCCCTCATCTTACAGGTGAGGAAACTGAGGTCCCCAGAATAGTATTCAGTGTTTCATCCGGGTCAAACAGATACAGTAGTAAGTGGCAGGGTGTGTATTCAAGACTAGGCCCTTGTGTCTTGAATAGACCCACTTTTAAACTGAGATGAATTTAGATCACTTGCAAAGAAAAGGAGACCAGCACCACTTGCCATCAGTAGAAAGACTCCATTAATACAAGCACAATGAAACCAAAACAGTATCCTTCGATTCTGGCAGGTAGGCGCTTTTACCTGCCAAAAGCTCTGAGCCTGAGGACCTGTGAGTAGGCAGGAGCGGAGATGCAGACTCACACATCAGCACCACGCTGACACTGCTCCTTTAAGGCAGGACACTGCGGGCTGGGGATTTAGCTCAGCGGCATAAGCTCCTGCCTTGCAAGTAGGCAGTCATGAGTTGGATCCCTGGTACTGATAAAAAGGAAAAAGAAAAAAAAAAAAAAGGCTGGGGATGTAGCTCCCTGGGTTCAATTCCCAGTACTGGAAAAAAGAAAAAACATTTAACAGCAGTGACCCGCAGAGAAAGGTAAACTCACTTCTCCCCGTGTCACTGTAGCACAGAAGCCAAGCTCAGCATGTGCCAATCCCTGTGACCTTACATTTGAGCTACCGAATCTTAGCTAAGTCTTTGACTGTAGGGAATAAAGACTAGATGTGGCCATGGGACTGAGAAAAATGCACACAGTTGTGTTGTGTGGCTTCAGAAAGATAACTTTATGGAAATAGGAATGGTGGTGGGGTGTGTGTGTGTGTGTGTGTGTGTGTGTGCGCGCGCGTACGTTTGCTGGGGCTTGAGCTCAAGACTTGTGTAAATTCTGCCCAGGGCTACCTCCCCAGTCCCTGTACAAACATATGCATGTCCCCTCCACTGTCTGGTGTGCGGTGTGATGTTAGGATCAAGCCCCACCGTCAGCAGGGAGGACCCCGCCGTACCCTGGAGACTGCAGCAGGGCACTGAGAGTCACTGTTGCCTTTGCCAGCCTCGTACCAATTCTCAACTGCTCAGCTGTTTGCTACTTTTTTATATAAGAAACTAGAACTTTGTAAACCACAGTTGTTTTCAGTCCCCACCCCCCACAGGCGGTCAAAGCCAGTCCTGATAATGTTCTGACCCTTCTGAATTTTGCAGCATGTGTATTACTGAGGAAAGAACTGTTTAACTGTGTGTTCTCGGGGAAGCTCCCTTCCCTCTCTGAAACTCAGTTCTGTAATCACAGGAATGGTGACTGCGCCTTCACAAGGCCACAGACAGAGAAGTCACTGCCACTGGTCATGGTGGACATGTCACTAACTTAGACTTCATCAGCTTTATAACCTCAGGTTACCCTTGTGTGGTGTCTGAAGGATGCACACTAGCTGTGCATTGCTCCACAGCAAAAGTCTGAACTCAGAGGACGCTGGGCATAGTAGCCTAGCACTCAGGAGGCTGAGGCAGGAGGATTGCCAAAAAATTCAAGGACATGGGCCAGGGATATAGCTCAGAGGTATAAGCATCTGCCTGATAAGCACAGAGTCTTGAGTTCAAGACCTGGTACCAAACAAACAAACAAAGAAAAATTGTTCCAGGACAGCTTGGGCTATATAGTGAGTTCAAAGTCAGCCTGGACTACACAGCAAAATCCTGTCTCAAAAATAAAACACTCAAGCAAAAGGAAGGGACTTCCAGGAACATAGCAGAGTGGTGAGCAGCAGAAAAAGCCTTTCTGAGATTTGCTATCCAGACTGAAATGTAGCCATGTGAGCAGGAAAAGAGAAGTGGGTCCCACCAACCGCAGAAGGACGTGAAGCTAGGATTGAAGCCCACAGTGCCAAGGAAGGGACTCTTCAGTGAAGGAGGAGGGCACGGCAGGCGGTACTTTTCCCCTGACCCCAGACTCACTGCATGCGAGGAGAAAGCTGAACCTGCAGATGATGGTATCTACTATCAAGCCCACACACCCCAGAGGGAAACACACCCGTGGAATGCAGCAGTGAACACAGTAGATCCAGTTACTCAGTTTCAGGCATCCTGCAGGAGAGAGCAACTGGCCAGGAGTCAGCTGGGGGAGGGCCAACTGAGCGCAGACTCAGAGCAACCAGTGGCTCCGCCTGGCAGCTCCAGCTGAGTCTGGGCTGGAGGGGCACACGCACTGCTGGATGGGTCTGGCTGCAGCCTCGCCTCAGAAACCAGCCTGAATTTCAGCAGAACTGAAGGTGCACACTTGCTGGGACTAATGAACAGAGTTGGGGACTCTGTCAGCTCACACTGCCCACCAGTGACAGCAGAGACACACCTTAAGTAAACATTGTTTCTTCCTTTTTTTCTATTTTGTTTTCTCTTGTTTGTCCTTTTAATACGTGTGAACATGGTTTCTAGCTTTGTTGTTGTTCTGGTCTTGTTTTTCTTTTCCTTCTTTCTTACCAGTTTCCTAAAGTTTGTGTAATCTTCCCTTGACCTGCAGCCTCTAATCTCTTCTTTTTCTATTTCTGTGTTTTCCCCTGATGATAAAGTTGCCATGCAGAGGGCCTATTAATTACATACA